ATTGCGGTTACGAGGTGACTGGACTATCCGTTGTACAGCTCGCTGACATGAAAGCGGCGTTATGAAGTGGTGAAAAGATTACTGCGACTTGTCAGCATTAAACTTTAAGAAAATTAACAAGATTTAAATAGAAGTCTGAAACTATCAAAAATGAATTAAATTGCACTTTCTGCACAAAAGGAAGTAAGGTTGACGGCCAAAAAGAGTATGTTTAGGGGTATTCTTATTTGTAGTAGCGCCAAAAACATTCTTAGCAAAAATATTTTTTTATAAAGTGCATAGAGTTATGGGCTTTTATTTATAGAGCTGAGCAAGTTTTGGGATCAAAGACATAAAAAACAAAAAATAGAATTTCTTGCGTTCCCAGCGTGTCTTTAAAACCTTAGGTGACATAGAGTGTCCCTCTACTAAATCTTTTTAAAACTTCGAATCTTAAATGCTTCTTCAATATTGGTGTACAAAGCTTCATCTTACTTGCTATTTTATCCGTTGAAAGAAACGTTTTAAAATACATAGTTGAACGGACTTTGTTAAATGGAGGGGTTTTCTCGTACTAAAAGAAGCAATGGATTTACTATAGAATAAGTCGCCTGCGAGGGGAAAGTTGGAAGTATCAATCACGGTTATTTTAGGAGGCAACTTGGTCTTCTTTCGTATCTTACCGCTATTCAAATTTAAGGTCACTAAACCTTAGCACCATTGAACCAGGCGGCTGATTGACAGAAAATAGCCAAATAATACAAAACTTTAAGATAAGGAGTTAAAAAAAAGATTCAAGATGTTGTCCATAGTGGCATAAACTACTGGACCGTAAAAGATCAAAAGAAATTGTTTTTTATTTTTTATTTTTTTTTTCACTGAGGTTGGTTTTGGCTATACAAGCAAAAGTTACTGGGGAGATGGTAGAAAAAAACCGTTTTTCCAAAATTTTTCAATAATATGGCAAGAAATATAACTATAGTCAAGATGAATTAATTGATGTTTAAAGTTCCTTTTTGCTTAAAAAATTGCAGTCTAAAATGTCTTACTAAGTCAAGTCGTTGTCAGGTTTTTGCTTCGAAACTACATCCTTAACTCTTTGAACTGCGTCATCATTGCCCTCCAACTCTTCCACTGAGTCGTCCGCATCTGTTTGAGCCGGCTGCTCCGGCTTTTGATATGTTGTTACTTCCGTTACAGTTTTACCGGTGGCCTCAAGTAACTCTTCATCAGTAAGTGAAATGTGTTTAGAAAATTTGTTTTCAGATTTTTGATTGGCGGTCTCCAGACTGTATAGAGGGCTGGCAAATTCAAAATTTTCTTTTTTTCTAGCTTCTTCTGTTGTCTCTTGCATTTCTTCGTCAGAATTAGAAGTCTCCACTGCCCAGCTTCTGAAAGCACTGGTTTTATTTTTCAACCAATCTTTGTGGCACTGAGACTGGTTTTCATTTTCTGCTTAATTTGACATAAAATTAGTCATTTTCTGTGCGAGATGCTTTAATAGAACCATTTGACTGTTTATAAGACCAAATTTTTTGCTCTAATACAATGATGTTTCACATAGAAAATATTACTTTACTGATTTATCTTCAGTCCTGTCCACGTGCCTTAGACGAGGAATAGCTTCTTTTAATTGCTGTTTCAACGTTACCCCATCAAACCTGAACGCTTCAGGAAGTCTATCGGAAGTTTGGTGCTCTTGTGTACCATTATAGGTAGAACGATGTGCAGTAATTGCAGAAACAATTAATTCAGGCTCAGGTTGCCAAGGCTGAGTTGCATAGGAAATTGGAATTTCACTGGACCTTTTTTTGCTTTTATCGAAGTCAGTGGGATTTGTTGAAATTGTGGGAAATTCCAAACTACCATTATCTTCTTTCCGTGTCTCTTTCTGCATTTCCTCAAGACTTGTCGTATCATAGGGTCTGAAATTTGAAATAACATTTACTACAATTATTGCAACCTGAAGAAGCGTTTAAAATGTAGCCAGTGAAGTTTGCCTCGAGTGTAATTCACGAGAAGGGCTGGTTTTCAGAGTAACTGGGTCGTCTGAGGAACCGTTATTTGAATGTGCTTCTTCTTCGCCATTAACAGACACTTGCGCGTCCGTTTTGGGTAGTTTAGAGCTTCTCCCATGAAGGTGGGTTTTCTCTACTAAAAATTCATTAACTCTCTCTCCATCAAATGCATTTTTTTTTCTAAATTAAAATTGGATGAACTATTGTTAAACTTTCTAAAGTTAATTGTTGACCTTTTTGAACTTCGCCCCCGTCCTCATCTGATACAGTTGCTGAGACCGCTTTAAAAACGGTTTTTTTAATCGGCAGTTCATTCGGCGTTTCCTTAGAAGAACCGCTTGGCAGGACATCACTTGCTTCACTTGTTTCTTTTGGTTTAACATGTAGCATCTCAGCTTCTACGTACAATTTACCCTGCTGCACTTCGTTCTTTTTAGGTAGTTTAGAGCTTCTTCGATAAAGATGAGTTTTCTCTATTGCAAAATCATTGACTCTTTCTCCACTGGATGCATTTTTGTTTTCTAAATCAGAATCAGATGAACTTTTACTGAATTTCCTGAGGTTAATCTTTGAACTTTTTGAATTTTGTCCTCATCTGGTACAGTACGTGCTATAATTGTTATCCAATTTTCTCCTGCTGGAAGCAAATAAATTACCCAATTTTTTTCAAATTTTTTAAAGACTCTTTTGACTAGATCACATTAATCAACCTAATACGAATTTATACTGTCCTGCTGGAAACTATTACAGACCACGTCTGGATTCGAATTTCAAGTGAACAAATGTGTTCTAAATTAATTTAAGTAAGTTTTAAATTATAAGTTTCACTTTGACGTATTCGTCATTTAAGGGTTTTTCAAAACCTGTTACTTTATTACTTTTTTTATTTCTTCTTGTTCGTTTTTTTGGTAGGAGCTTTTTATTTGGAGGTATTATATTTTCTTGAAGCTTGAGAGTTTGAGGAAGAAGAAACAGCGATTTCCTTAAAGCTTAAGTGTGGAAAACGCCAGTAAAGTAACTTTTGAGCAAAGAGCTGCTATTTAATTTTTCTTCTCTTAGAACCAGTTTTGAAAGCAAATCTACAGATGTTTACATGTTCAAATAAGTACTCTGGCTTATACTCAGGTGGTTTCTTGGTCAAGGTTTTCGTCGGGAGAGCAGATCAGTCTGGTAAAAAATTTTCCGACCTCAAACAGTAATCGGTGATGAATTTTAGGCTCACCATTATTACCCTGAACCTTAGCAGTGGATTCATTAAGGTTTCAGCACTTGCTAAAACTGGAGGAGAGTCAGAATTTTGAATGTCGTGACAGTACTGCTCAGAAATTCTCAATGACTCCATTGATCAGGGAAGAAGAATAGCAGATGAACAGCGTGTAAAACCCCTGCTTCAACTGTGGGAGATATTAAACCAGTAGAGCCATGAAAGGATGTCACAAGGTATTCTGCCACTCAAAAGCCGTAATTTAACTAGCAAATCTCATGTGGTCGTGGTCGCTGCTGCAAACCAGTGCGGTTCCCGCTATTATATTAACCTTTTGGTTTCGGCTATTTATCCAGTAGCTGCTTGCTGTTTGTGGGTTTGAAGTGACATCTGTACAGAATCCGGTGTAGTTGCAGCAGCTAGTCGAAACCTGCTTTGTAAGACTACCTGATTTCGTCTTTTCAAAAGATTTCCTGGGTGGTTCTGACTGTCAGAATTCTGAGTGTAGAGTCGTAGTTATTTGACCAAAAGAAACCTACTCTTTAAAATAGGTAGAAAATCAGAACTTGGTCCTGAAGACTTTTTGAATTGGTTATCGTTCATTCAAGCGCTTTTATCATGCAAGTTTGTTCTACTGTTACCGATATCTCTGAGATCTGCACTGTTAACGAAGCCTTCGTGGGGATTAGAGACTACTTCAGCAGTTTTTCTTTCCTCTCTTTGTAGCCGTTCAATATTAACAAATCCTCTCTTTTCGTCAAGGTGCATTTCTGTAAATGATTCGACAACAACCTAAAAAGAGAGTTGAATGCTTAATAGCTTTCAATGCAGTTTATAAACGTGAAGGTAATACAATAAAATTACAATCAAGAGCAACTGTTTTTCTTTCATCCTCTCTTTAAATGGCACCAACCTCTTGACTGCCATAAGTCGTGAAACTTAGAAACTTCTATTTTTTTTAGAGAGAAAAGCAAAGTATTTGCGATCATGCTTTGAAGCTCGAAACGCAGTGGTCAGTAAAGTTTAAGATCAATAAAAATGCTGCGAAAGTGATTCAAAGGGAAACAGAAATTAGGCTGTTAAGGTGATAGAGAAGGAAGTATACAAACGGAGAGTTCAAATTTAAAGTTTTTCTGTTTGGTTTTTTGTTTTGCATTATGTTTGATTGGCCTCCAGTTATCTTCAGACTAAGATTTTTCTTCTGACAAAGGTTTATTTTCTATAACCTATTTCATATTCATCAACAGTTATCAGTACACGAAAACATCAATGTTCTTGGTGTAGAGTGGAACGCCAGCGAAAAACGCGTAAAAGCAAGGAGAATTTAGTAAATCTTTGTGACAAAAACCAGCTCTCCTCTTTATTTTGCTGCATCAGTGAAATGAGTAGTTGGGTTTAAGGGGTAATTCCTGTTCTTTTCTTGTTCAGCTTCTTCAATCACAGACTTTTAGATGCAAATATATCAATGTATCTAAAAGTCTGTGATTGAAAAAACGGGATATAAAGAACTGTTTCTTGATCTGCAGAAACTGCCCATTTGATCTTTCCACTCGCTTCCCTGATGCAACAAAGTAAAGAAAAGAGTGGGTTTTTTGCAAGAAGCAGTATTATACTAACAGCCTGGTTGAACAGGATCTGTAACGAATTATGCACTTTTGTAATCGAAGAATGAAAGTACTAACCGTGGCATTGTTTCTGGGACTGCTAACGTCATGCATTTCGTTGTTTCTTCCATCTTGGAAGGTTGTATTCCTGTGAGATCGATGCTTTTTTTTAAGGGCACTGTCTCGTAAGTTTTCTGCGCTAGCAAATGGAACTTGTTGATCGTTTGATGTCATCTGAATGTCAAATACTGTTTGGTATTGACTGTTTCCCTCCGTTGCTGCCCTGCCGTATGGATGTTCGGTTCTAATTTGTCTAGTTTCAGAAAGCGATGTGGTTGTAACTACGGTATTGGAGGGTCTGTTTTCAATTTTCTTTATGTAATTTCTTTTCACTTTCTGCGGCCTATAGTTCTGTTTGACATAGTTGGAAAATAGAAAAACGTTTTCAGTCCCATAGTTTCTTTTACCGGTACTTGACTCTTTGCCGATGTAGTGACTCCCATCTTTGCCATAGCGCTGTTGACGCAAGAAAAAAATATTTTCAATAGCTTCACAGTATCCTTCTAAATCCACACCAACCTTCTTCCTACTTAAACTCCGTGCCTGTTGGGCTGCATCATAACAGACTTGTATTATCTCCTTAACAATGTTTAATTTAGTCTCTTAAAAAGTAATAATAGAGAGTTCTGCGTTTCCAGTTTTTGGGCAGTCTTTTACTTCATTGTTCATCATGTCCTTCAGAAGATTTTTTAAATCAAAAAAACATTTGTTTTCTAATGACAGTTTATACAGCAAATTAAATTCTTTTTAAATAGCTCATGATTGAGGAGATCTCTGAAAAATTAACAGATTGAAGACCAGTTTGAGATTTCATAAATAACGGACGTGTTTGTTTTGGTAGCAAAAAAAAAAAAAGGAGATACCTCGTTGCAAACCTCCTTATATTGCGAATAGAGAAGAGCAAGTGAAAGATAGGTGGCAATAAGGTCTAGCTCATTTCCCACGGTCCAACATAAGTCCATAGCTGGCTTTATTTTTAAAAAATGTCTTTCTATTTGATTCCATTGGTTTAGCATCATTAGCCTTCTAAAAAATTTCTATTGCGCAATTGGTAGCAAATCTGCTGTAATAAATGTTGCTGATCCAAAACAATTGATTTAACATTGACTTTGTCTCCTATATAAAAGTACTCTCAATCAAATGTTGCACTACATCTTTTAAGACCAGTAGATTGAAGGAAATAAAAAGAAAAGGGTTTCCAGAAATAGTTTTTTTAATTGATATATCCACTAAAGTTCAAATATTTGTTTAAGCAGTTGTCACTTTTTGCTTTGAAATTCATTTTCTCTTGAAAGGTTCAGGAAATAAATTTGCCTGTTTATTTAAAAATGCTTAATTTAAAGCGGTATTCTCTACTCATTTTGATTTACCGTTTCTCTTACAGGCAAAGATTTTTTGCTTCTATAAAACCGAGCCTCTTTAAAAGTTTTGCTTCAAAATGCCAAATAATTTGCATATATCTTCCGCTACACTTGGTCAGAAGTCAAAATCGTGGTAATATTGATTTTCTGATATTTCAATTTCCATGTTGAGAAACGGAGCTCGGCAGAAAGCAAAAAGTAAAGGATCCTCGAAAGATTAGAACTATGCCGCTTTTTTACACATTTTTGTTCAAATAACCTTAGGGTCGCTCAGTGTTCAAAAATGCCCTTGTCTTTTCCCTTTTTTGAATATTGACCGTACTTTTCTTCATACTTACTTCCGTACTTATATTCCGTACTTATCTGTTTTTGTCATTCCATCGCTTTCATGCTATCTTTGTAGAACTCCCCCTGAACTTTTAACCTTGCTTCTACCGTGTCTTGGGAGATTTTATCGTTTTCCTATTATACTTAACTACCTATAACGCGACTGTTGAATTGGGCCGACATTTGGTTAATTTTAAGTTTGATTTAACAATTAGATGGTATTAATGAGGCTTCTTACAAACTGATACAACAAAATTACCTGTCGCTTTCGCTGATGCATTTGCCCTTTAAGTTAGCGCATGCATGCGAAAACACTTCTCGTAATAGCGCTACATAATTTATGACCGCTATTGGATCGGGCTTTTCACCGAAGATAATTCCGTTTAAGACTTGGATGGCGTCCATGCAAACTAAAATCAACTGCATTCTTTGAAACCGGCTATTCAAAACAGATTTCCCACATTATTTTTCTGTTTTTTCTTGTTGCAAAAACGCACTGTAACCCCATCATTTGTTAAAGTTCGGTTTTCCAGAACGATGTCTGGTGCTCAAGCACGAAATGACTATTGCGGGAGAACGTCTTACTTTTTTCAACACCTCAAGTATTTAAGGTTAAGGCCTTACTAAATCAAATTTGATTTGCTAAATGGAATTAGCTGTGCTAATATATCGCTGAGATGCAACAGTGGCCCTTAGGAATACTTTATAAAATCGCAACAACATGCGGAAGAATGAAATTTCTTTTTATTTTGTCATTTGAAAACTTTAGAGGAGAAAACTGAGAAAAAAAATTCATTGATATATAAAAAATGCATTGCTTAAAATACTTATACTTTCAGAAGAATTATAATAACTTTTAGCAGCTATTTTCTGTCGACGCATGAACACTTTTGAATCATAGACATATGCAGTGACTCACATACAGAAAAATTTTACTGGAACTGTTTAAATGCACGAATTCTACAGATTCGGAGAGTATATCTAGAAAGGGGTTTCCTCATTTATCAACTTCTGTTTGTCCGTCAAACCAGGCTAATCAGGAGGTGGGAGAAAATGCGCAGTGTTTAATAAAAATAAAAACGTTTCAATAAACATAACTGTAGGTAGCTTTAAATCTCGTTCTTTCAAAACTTTTCGTTTTATGGTCAAGCTGCAGTTTTTTTTTCTCTTTCTTCACACTGTGTAACTTCCTGGTATTTTTAGCCCATTTCTCCTAATTATCCCAACAATAAAAAATGTGCACTTTTTATTATCCTACAGTTAAAAGAAAAACCGGGTTTTATTCCTAAAATGATTAGGTTTATATTAAAATATTCTATTATTAAACGCTCGCTAATTAATGGAAGTGTAAGAAATGTTTCTTAATTTGCGTGAAAAGCTACAACAAGCGAGGGGTTAATGGAAAAGATTTGAGCATGAAAAAAGAATGAGAGTTTAAGATAATATTTAACTGTCAATGTTTGATAGTTTTACAAAGCAGAGGAGGTGCTCTAAACAGTTATTTTTAATGATTGTTATTCTCGAAAGGTTAGGTCGCGGAAGAAACCACGTCTTTTTGAAAAATAAGATCAGCATTTCATTTTCTAGTGAAATACCCAGTATTCTCGCATCCGTAACAGTACAAAAGCGATGTGATTGGTAAGGCAGAGGTTCAAAAAATTATCAAGATGACTTGCAATACGTTAAAGTGGCAAGTCTTGGAAGTGCACTGGGAGCAAAAGTAAAAACCGTTATCTATCCATATTCTTCTAAGTCATTTAAGCATTTTGGAACTGAGTTCTTGCGCTTTTGATGCTACTGTCAACTAGGGTTCGGATAGATACGATAATGCTCAGTTTGCACAAACTGAGCAACGTTTCTGGAAAACATGCGGCATAATTAGTTGGCTCACTAACGCAAGTGAAACATTTTTCGGAAGTTATTTATTAAGGTTTAGGCTCCAGTCCCTTAATTTCCCTAACTACCTAGTGGAATAGTGTCAAGAAACCTGTAAACAGAAGGAGATTAAAATTAAAAAAGCAGAGGACTTTTAGTGAAGAATTTATTAAGTTTTCTCCGTAGATAAATAAACCATATTTCACAAAACATTCCTGTTTTGTTGTCAGCAATGAAGAAAAGCGCTTCAAAAAAAAAACGTATCATTTGAAGTACTTTACTTTCTCTCATCCAAGCTAAGATAGCTCTCTGACAACTTTTTTTAAGAACAGAAAAATTCTGTTATTCTGATTTACTTTGTCTTTACTTTATCTCAAATTGAATACCTTTAAGTCACTGACTGGAAATTTTTATGATTTATGATTTTATAACTTTTCTTCCTTCAGGTCTAAGGGAATTTCCCCATCGCATATGTAACTAACTTAAACATTGGTTAAAAACATTTTTCTAATGAAAAATGCGGAATTTCAACTTGTAATGAAAAGATTTGATATTTTCTAGTAAAGCGTGCCTCCGGTAACAAACAATCAAAAGTACTAACAAACGATCTGGGTACTGTTCGAAAGATCTACGTTGTCAATTAAAATGTCCACAAACAATTCTGTTCTTTATCAAGGGAGGTACTTTAATGCAGAACAAGAAATGAGTGGCTTAAATTAGCCATCATGACAGACTTATAAAGCTTTCGCTTTCTTGTTAAGATGATTTCCAAAATTTGGTGAGCTACCTCGATCATTAGCCTCCATTTCCCAATATGTCGTATCCAGTTGTCCTCGATAAAAGCGGAATATACTAGCCATTTCAACTCTCGTGACTTCTTTCGGCGGTCTCATACTTGCGTCTTCACTGGCAATTCGCTGAGCGTATTCTGACCTTAGTGGCTGAGGTGATTCTGTCAGGCTTGTACCTGATCCGAAATGCATCAAAGCTGGACATAAACGTCAGAATCAGCCTTACTCAAGTTTTACATTCCGCTAAAGTGACGTGATTTTCAAACAATAGAGTAAAATTTGCTAAATATATAATGAAAATCAACAAAGTCACACACTTAAAATCTCCCTCTCTTCAGCCTCAACTAAAAATATGGTCTTTCAGCTACCACTGTTAAGATGTGTTTTTAACCAAATGCCAATAGCTGTGTTTGATAGCTTTCAGACTTTGTTATTTCTAACAATCAGTAAAACAGTGGTACGAAACGGATTGGATTTTATCGCCTCAATTCAATCAAAAGAAAGATTTAATATAGGTGCAACGGTTCAATAATCAAGATTCGCTCATGACAGATGTGATTTGAAGGACCATGACAGTTGTAAAAAATAGGTCCAATTAATAAATCACGTGTATCTTCGCACAAATACACATAATTCAATGGGAGTCCTGTTTAAAGGCTTTAAGGCTGCCTCACAGCGTACCAGATGCCTTCTGAATAAATAAATAAATAAATGAATAAACAAATGCCACTTTCTATTCTGTAAATAGAATCTGCAAAAGTTTAAGCGTAATTCTGTTGTTTGAAAAAAAGTTAGTTTCCCTCACTGTACAAAGGCAAAAAGCGAAATCTAGCCCATAAAACAGTTAACAACAATACCAGTAAGTAGCTGAAACAAATTTTAAAAATATATGTAACAAGAGGGAACTCTTATTTTTAAAGGCTACATTAAATAAAAAATTCGACGCGCCAGTCTATAAACAACAAAAAAACGTTTCTGTGTGGTAGAACTGATAAGAACAATGCTATCATTTTCATCTTTTGTAAATTAAACAATTTTTCTACCTAACCACCATCATCACTAGTGAAGAAAAGCTTGACAACTAGACTTTGCGTGGACTATACTACCAAATTTCACAAGTGCTTTTCTCTTGTGTTGCATATCAGGACTGATAGCCCAACGCTGGCTACTCTCTTCGTTGAATGCAAAAAGACCGCTATCTTCTACCTGTAAACTTTCCTTCCCACTATTACAACCAGTTATCGAAATATCTACGACGCTCAAAAGAAAATAAACTAAAGATATGAATAAAGCTTACCTTCACAGTTATCCTTGAAATCACATTAAAGACTGCGAGTTCTAAATCCTCACTCACATCTTAGAACGACATTTCTCTATTAACGCCATTTTTCTCTGCAAAAATATAAGACGGCTAGCAAAACGCTTTAAAAACGTTTTGCCAAGCCTATTTTCCTGAGAAATGTACTTTGCTGGTTCCAGCTTCTAGACACTCAAACTTATTTGAAGCACCGTGATGAACAACTCAAATGAGTAAAGATCTGAAATGCATAGGGTCCAAACCGACATAACTGCAAACACAGTCCTTCTTCACCCATTGTCACCGCTCAATCGGTTTATGCTAATCTCCTTCCTCGCTCAAACTTCACTTATACTTAACTGCTTATGGCGAATTTCACTATCGCTCTTCTACCAGTTAACTGCCAGTAACACTAATGCAACACAGTTGTAGTTCTAACGCACGCATCACTTGGCCTGCTCTCCGCAGTCGTCAACACCTTTCGAAGTAGTTCTTCAGCGACGTATATTTCTAAACGGAAACCCAGTAATACAATTACTACACCAGCTGATCTTCCAAGAACAAGAGAAAAAATAAACTACTCAGTCCCGACACCCAAGCGCAAACATTACTTCTCTCACAACGAGAACCCCAACTTCCCAATAAAATAAAAAATGCAACCAACTTCCACTTATTAGAACAAATGCACATAAAAATCAAAAAAAAATTTCATAATCCAAACTAGCCAACGCCAGACTTCGCACTGTTATGTGCAACGACAAAACTAAAAACCTCCGGTGAACAACCCTTTTTCAGTGACTGGATTAAGCCACCTAAGTTGTTGTTTTGGAACCTTGCAACAAAATTACTTCACCATAAAAAGGCTTTACCAGCCACCCAACGCAGACAAATACTTATTCAGATATTAAACACTTCTATAATGCCAGAAGAAATAATAAAACACCTGATTCGGAACACGCAATGAAGCTGAAGTTGGGAGCTCTTTTACTCTCCCCGTTTCCAGCACTGAATGGAACCCAAGAATTAAGAAAAAAACTGTCAAGCAACAAAAACCGTTATTTAAAAAAAAAAAAAGAATAAAGAGAAACAGCAAACGTAACCTCCCAACAATAAAACCTGACAATGTACAAACTGCAGCCGCCAAAAATCAATCTAAAACTGTGAATCATCTGTACGTAAAACGACTACAAATCCACCATCACTCCAACTTTCATGAAAATGTTGGTAATGACGCATTGGTAAACATACGTAACAACGTAAATTTATTCCTTAACAATCACAAAGAAAATC